CCAAATTGTCGCTGCTGTGATCATTCTCTATCTGGAGAACCAGCGGCTGTACACCGAAGCTTTTCAGATATCTGAATTCCAGAATTTGTCGAAACCCTTGAGCCCAGCAATTCTTGTCAAAAAGCGGATTTTAGCCACTTTACCCGAGATCGCAGTTTTACGGTCATGGACCATGATTGCGCACGGGGATAAAAATTGACTTATACTTCGGCTAAGAAGCCAGCTATTGCTACACAACTGGTAAGCACATAAACAGCATCTGAAACGTCGGCAATGACGAACAAAGCGTCATCTTAACAAGCTAAATAACACAATTAGATGATTGTACAGGTGCTCAAATGCTCTGCAACTATGGTCTACTGGCAATGAGGAGCAACCGGATAGCAAATATGCGATGAAGAACAAATCTGAGGAATTGAGCACATAACGAATATTCCGGAAGAAGCATATCGTAAGAGCCTCTTTTTCTACGAGTGAATCGAAAACTACTTCAACTTTTATCACAATGTCGCAAAGTGCCATTGCTGATATGGATCTTCTATCCATGGTCTGTATATGCCGGTCGACCTTCCGCGTCTCAATAGACACTGCGATGAACTACGACCGTTTAAAACTGGACAGTCACTGTTTAGCCCATGAGTAAATATCGAACAGAATAAAGAGTTAAATCCCAGTTGCGCAGGAAGGGAGTGAACTCATACGTCATAGAAATGAGGTATTGTCATAACCGCTCTGCGGTTTACACGCATCATCTGAACATCTTGCACTTAAGCTTACACATTGAGCTGATCTGTGGTCAGCTATTAGATGGGTCAAAGCCCACTGCAGCCAAAAGGACCACGCATCAGGTAGCATGCCCGTATGTCTCGCATGATTTGGCATGACAACACTGAAACACAATGCCATTCCAACTGTTGGAACATGTCAGCAACTTACCAAATGCTTGTCGGCTGGTTGCACGGAAGAACGATTGTCTGATATTCTTTGTTCAAGGGAATAAGGAATGTTACCGGATCTTAACGTACCAAATGGCTTACATTATCGCCCAAGCTTGTCGAATAGCGTGATTCAACTTTAACTGCTAGAAACAGACAACAAAACTCGAAAATACAACAAAACACAGCGATACGTTCATGGCATAGAACGAACAGACGCAATTTTGACGCAAAGTAAAGGGTTCACACGGCACGGGGCAGCCAGCTTGAGAAACAAACAATAACTATTGGAGATCACAAGATAACGTAACAACCTCCTTCGGGAAAGAAACGAATGCAATTTGCATGAGGTGCAAAGAAACGAGGTAGAATCGGGTTATAATAGTTACAACATCGACGGCTGTCGAGTTACCGCGCTACAAACATATGCGCTCGTCGGCAACCTTCAACTAGTGGCCCGCAAGTCCTCGCATGGTTTACATCATAATCGTTCTGCCGGTAATATCGTTCTTGGATAGATTTATAAGGAACGCCAGCATTTGAGAGCCAGACCGAGGAACAACGGGAACGTAACATAAGCGACGGCGGCGTGAACTGACCGTTCGGTAAGTGGTCGTCACTGGGTCGTGATATGAGGGACCTCCGTGGTGCCCGCATGACTTGTCCGATCGGTCCTGCAACAGAAACATAAAGACTGAATGACGAGTTCATGAAATTTCTTCACAAATTCGTTTTCAAACCAGATTTAAACTGTTCACTGTTTCAACATCATTATATCGGTACAATTGCTACCGACCGACCTGACGATGGCTTATGTGTCAAAACTCGAAACCTCACAATAGAGAAAAGAACTTGCATTGCATCACTGCTGTGTTGAACAAGCTGAACATTTCAGTTAAATTCAGGTTTACATCCTTCCTGGGATCACAGCCTTGTCGCTGCAGCGGGACTTCATTTCTCAGTAACCCTATAAACTATTCCAGAGGGTAGCTTTTTCCCCTTCTGTCCCTGCTGGTCAGGTATAAGGGAAGATTAAATGCGATCAACCATCAGTACCCATTATTGTGTATCACTGTGAAAATGTTCCTATGCCGGATTGGTCTACGCCCTGGTTACCAAGGGTCTCACAGGCCGTTGGGAAACTAAGTCAGTCTGTGACAAGTAGGCGAACATAACCTGTTTAACCTCTTTCTGTGAGAGAATTGTGACAGGTGCGCCAGCAGTGGTGGAAGGAACAAAACGAGGTTGTAATGAGTTGATATCACATCCATGTGAAGCAGGGCAGAGGTCATCGAAAAAATGCTGGACGAATGGAGGAAGATCTATTCCCTCAATGGTGCAAGCGGGCAATGTCTAGCGGACCAGAAATGGCTCTCAGAAAATACGTTGCTAACAGAATTGGAACTGGATGAGGTCAGAAGAGCGCTTGATAATGACAACACTGCGCAAGAGGATCAACCAGCCCAATATATTTGTGAAATCACCCCTGACAAGCCTGAGAGGAGCGAGAAGTGGAAATGGTTGAAGTGACAGAAACTAACCAGCTGAATGATAAAGAAAACTCTCTTCGGCAGGAGATTTTTCAGGAGTCTGAACGGCAAGGAATTGCATTCTTCCTATTACAGACAAGAAAGAGCTGTGTCAATATATCACTTACATTAACAATACTCTGAAGATGGTACCAAACAGTAATTTGAAGTCAGTCAATGGTGTGATATGTGCGATAGCTAATTGTGACAGGGAAGAAACTTTACACTAATCTACAAACAAATCCAAAAAGAACAGAACAGCTGTCTAAGAAGAATCAGGAACAAACAGGAGCAAATAAACAGAGAAGTAAACGAATTACAACGCCTGTACAGAGGAAACATAAAGTTATACGATCGGACCAGATCAAACGGTCAGAGCTGCATGCGAGGAAGCAGAGGCTGTTAGTTGTTAAAATAAAGCTTCGGAAATGCCAGAACAGGTTCGAGCGCTACAAACAGAACAGCACGTTCATTCAAAACGCTACAGCCTTCCACAGAGAATCGGAGGCAAAGAACAAATCCTGAAGCAGTGCGAAGACCATTAATCTGAACGCAGATAAATTGCTTCACTTCTTAAGACATATGCGAGACAATGACAAAGCCAAAAACAGAAAAACTAACTGGGTAAAGGAAGTACAACAGAATGCAAATAGAGCCTCTGAATAAAACTAGGTCACAATCGAGCAAATGAATATGCTTGAGGCGCTTAGAAGGATGAAAAACTGAACAACGCTAAGACCGGATCAGGTGCATGCGTTCTGGCTTAAATGGCAACCATGTTTGCATTTACGAGTCGCAGTGTTTTTGCAGAGAGCACTTGGTTAACGGAATGAGTGGCACATCTCATCTTGAGAAACGACAACAGGGTTTATGGCGATGGGACTAACTAAGGGC